TGACCGGCTGGGTGTTGGCCTCATTTTGCCTGGATCAGAACGAGGCATCTCTGCCAAGGGCACAGGCAGACAGACCTGCCGTGGTCATCACTGGGCAGCGTCTCTCTGGGATTAAGTCCACAGTGACTTTGTCCAGGGAGGAGTCACTCTGCAGTGGGAACATTGAGATGTTCACCAGCTCCCCCCGACTCCGCAGTCACCTCGAGGAGTGCTGTCTGGGTCTTTTTCAGTTTGGGGAAATAATTAACTCCTTGGCTTCCAACCCTGCCTACAAACAATTTCATTTTCTCGAATATTTTTATCCTCCTGAACACATAATTAATGCAGCAAAATTGGACTCTTCCAAAGAGACTTGGTGTTCGATCCACTTAAGTGGGTCCTGGGAGCAGACTGCAGACCTTATGGATATAAACCGAACGCAGTGTCGTGTGTGGGTCACGCCCCGGGCCTGTGAACTACCGGCGGCTACCCATGAGCTTTTACTGAGACTGAGCGCCAAGCCCCAAATATCTGACTCGGCTTTTTTTGAGTGCCCAGGTTCCCCCTCAGAGGCTGGCCAAGTCAGGATGGTGCAAGATAGGGTTTTTATTTAGTGCATCTACCCACGCTCGATTTGAATACAGTGATGTGGATGTGGGGGGATTTTCTGAAGTGATGCAAGTGTCTGAATATGTGTGACTGTATGCATGTGCGAGTGCATGTGCATGCATGTGAGTGTGTGCATGAGCGTGCATGTGTGCAAATGTGTACATGTATGCATATATGCGCATACATTTGAGTGTATGCATGTGTGAGCGTGTGCATGTGTGTGAGCATGTGTGTGCATGGACATGGATGTGTATGCGTGCATGCATGTGTATGCATTTAAATGTGTGGCTGCGTGCACGTGTGTGAGTGTGTGTGTGCATAAAGCCCATTTGCACGGGGAAAGGCCCGGGTCTGATACAGATCCACAGTAATTGCACCATCACTGTCCTGTTTCCTGTAAATCTCCAGAGCACAAGGTTCCCCTTCCTGGGCGGCAGCCAAGCTGGGGAGAGGGGCATCCAGGCCGTGGCGGGCGGCCAGCACTCCCGAGTGGAGCCCCGCTCCCCTGGGGCCTGTGGATGGCTGAGCTGGCATGCCCTGGTTCTGACCCAGCACCCTCCCCCAGCCTGGCACAGAATCCCCGTCCAAAGTGGTCGTGGCCGAACAAAGGTGTCTTTCTTGGGACACTACCGCGGCCTGACTCCGGAGTGCAGCGTGGCCTCTGTGCTCTGTGGCTGGTGCGCCGGGGTTGAGACCTTCCCCGAGGGGGGCTGGCAGTGGAGGGGTGTGCTCAGGAGGGAGGGGACAAGGAGGGGACCTGGACTTAAAGTAGGCTCTGTGCCTTCGGGACTGAAAGAGTGGCTCTTCCAGGAGGCGCTCAGGTGCACGGTCGGGCCCCTGAACGCCTGCCCCGTGAGCCTTTCTGTCCTCACCCTGTAATAACTGACCGGCCCCAGCTGGGCAGCTCCTGATCACCGGATCTCCACGGGCTGGTCAGGTGGGCGGGGGAGGGGAGACAGAGCTCCCAGCTGTGTGCCCGTGGGCCAGAGGTCACCCCCTGCCCTGGCCTCAGTGTACTCGTCTGTGAAGAAAGGCTAACACCCATTTCCTGCCACATCCTGCCGTAATGAGACACGCGTTGTAAAGGCTGCCGTATCTGAGTCAGGCGAGCCTGGGAGTTTCCGTGTTGCCCCGCGGTGAACAAGTGCTTCTCTGCCCTTGAAGGTGCGCTCTTGACATACAGTGCCCCCCTCCTCTACCTGTGACTTGGGTTGTCAGTCATTTTTTATTTGAGTGAGACCTGCACCATGTCACCTTCCCCAACGCCTCCGGTGGGCGAACATTCAGGTGCGGGGTCTTTTTCCTCTAGTAGCCGGGACTCTGAGAGCAGGGGTGGGCGTGGCACCATCTCTCTGTCCCAACGAGTCCTTGTGCCGTGACTGACACGTGAGCCCCGATACTGGCTTACTGAGAAAATGACAAAATGAACAAGTCCCGGTGCAGTCTCAGGGCTGCTCTGGGTCTCAGTGGAGACTTCCGTGAAGAATTGTGGGTAAGGCAGTTTCCACACAGTAGCTGCTGGGACTCTGCCCTTCTCCGACCCTCGCTGGTCGCCTGCGGGATTTTAACTGCTGCCGCGTCCCGAGTGGAGCACAGCTGTGCCTGGGAGATGGGGTCCAGCCTCATAGCTTCCCCTGCCTCTATCTTGGCAAATTCCTCCCCCCGCCCCCAAACCCGGCCTTCCTCCACTCCCCAGGCTGGAGGACAGTTAGGGCTCACCTGAGGCCCGCTCTGCCTCTCCCTGC